ATGTCTCTATTCAGGAAATAGTTCCACAAACGTTCTATGACCCATTTGGGAACGGGCAGCACGTTGGCTAGAAACCACACTTTTGACATTGCTAACGTATTTGTCAACATACTCTTTCCCCTAAGTGACAAAGTACGTAGTCCCAGAAACTTGAGTTTTTTCTCTCCTGTTTAGAGTTACTAGCCAGTTGAAATTGGTAGTAATACTCAGTCTGGTGTAAAAAGTAACACCCAAAATTTTTAAACCGGTTATTTTGGTCCACTCTATGTTGTCCAATTCTGGGTACATTTTAGGATCAAAACCCCCAAGAGCAAGACCCTTGGTTTTTGAGGCACTGATCACTGAACTACTTGCTTTTTCAAATAGTTTTACTGTTTCGAAAAAAAAGCCGACTGATTTTACGTCCTTGGCAAAAAAAAATTGAATCGTCTGCGTACTGCTGTAATTTAAGGGGTTTTGGTGTTCCTGATAGTGGGAATCCCTCCATTCTGCTGTCTGCTCTGATCACCAAAGCTGGAGCTTCAGCGACAAAGACATACAGCAAAAGAGAGAAAGGGTCGCCTTAACTAACTCCCCTTTCGGTAGGGAAAGAGGCTGACAGGAAACCGCAATTCAGAACGGATGCCGAAACTTCAGAATATAGAGTGTTAACAAAAGATATAAAATTTTCTCCGAGATTAAATTTTTGGAGAATCTGCCGCAGAAACGTACGATCAACTTTGTCAAACGCCTTTTCTTGATCTATTGATAAAATGAAATTAGGTTTTTAAATTCCGCATAATCTATTAGATCACGCACTAAATGTAAATTTGAGAAAATTGGTCTACCTGGAATTCCGCAAGTTTGATTTGGTTTTATAATTTTCCCCATTACTTTTGCAAGTCTTAGGGACAGCGTTTTTGTGATTATTTTGTAATCAGCGCCGATTAAGGATATGGGTCTCCAATTTTTGCATTCGGTAAGATCTCCTTGTTTGAGAATCAGTGAAATTATTGATTTTTTCATAGAGTGGCTGGTATTTTTTTCTACGGAAAGTATTTCGTAAGCAAGTACTTCAAAATCTTTTTCTAAAATGTGTCAAAAAGTTTTGTAAAATTTAGCTGGAAGTCCGTCTTCGCCCGGAGTTTTTCCGTTTTCGAATTTAAAAAGGGCATCTTTTAGCTCATCGCCGGTTAGGCGGGTATTTAAAATTTGGTTTTCATCATCACTTAAATGTTTAGTGATGTGTGGAAAGACATAGTTTTGGCTGTCTTTGCATAAATTCGTTTTGGTGTAAATGTTTTTATAATATGAAACGAGGGAGTTAAGTATTTCACCAGGTTCACTCGTCAAGGTGCCGTCATTCTTGCGAATTTCGGTGATTGACTTGTTCCGCTGTTGAACTTTTTCCAAATTATACAAAAATTTTGAAGGTTTTTCTCCTTCTTTGATTAGTTTTTGTTTCGTGTGAATAAACGCTCCCGGACACTGGAGCAATAAAAGAGCATCTCTTTTTTTCTTTGATGCTATCTAAATTCGGGTTAGGGTTTTGTCGCTCCCGTTAGATTTCGTTTTCAATCCTTTTGATATGTTTTTTGTTTTTCGCACTTTCCTGTATTGATATATGTAGTAGTTTAACCCTAACAAAAAGTTTGCAGTCATCCCACCATTTTAAAAGTGAGTTGTAGGACCGTTTTTTTGCTTGTCAATCTTGAATTAAGAGTTCAATTTTTTGCTTATACACCTCTATTTCCAAAAGGGAACAATTTAATTTCCAGTATCCTGGTCCTTTCCTAGTTTTACTAAAATTGACGGTTGTTGTCACGAACTCGTGGGAATGGTGAGAATTTTTGTATATGACGTTTTTTTGGCGACTTTATCAGGGCAGTAGATATCCTAATATACTATATCGCAATATATTACAGGGTTTTGTAAAGTTATAAGTGCATATAAATTTTTTTGGAAAAATATTTTTTAGCTTTAAAAATATTGCGCAAAATGTTAAATTAAGTTACAGCATAGCAATCAATAAGTGTTTGTTTTTTTTTTTGTTTTTTTTTTTTTAATTGATAAGTTAGTGAAAATTCTTTACATTTTTACTTAATTTAGTATCTTGTTATATATCAATAACTTTTGAAAATGATGTTTACTATTTTCTAAAAATTATAAAAGTATCTAGATTAGATACTTTCATAATTTTTAAAAAATAGTAAACATTTTTTAATCATAATATTTTAAAAAGGCATGCAAAAATATACATTTTTAAAAAAAATAAACAAATCATTTTAAATATTTTAATCAGATAAATTCTTCTCTTCTTATTGCCTTTTCCAACCATCTTTTCATATTTATATAAAAGGCATTGCACTTTTGACTATAATTATTATAAGGTGATAAAATATATTCTAGAGTTTCTTCAACAGTCATATCGGGATTAGCATTTCTTGTGGATTTGAAAGTGGATATTTACATTGAAAAGAACTCTTCGATTGGATTCAATTCAGGGGAGTATGGTACTAAAAACTTGTGAGTAATATTTTTTTCTCTTAGTAATTGAAATACTGCAGCTGCTTTATGAAGTTTTGCATTATCTAGGATGAGAATTTTATTTGGATTTACTGCAAAGAATGGTACTAGTTTGTTGTTGATGAAATCAATAAATGGTTATGTATTGTATGCGCCGCTTTTGTATTGGTAACATTCAACTCCTAAATTGGAAATTAAGCACATGAGGCTAACATTCTGTCCTTTATTTGCAGGAACTGTCAAGTACGCTTTTGTATTGTTTGGAGAATAGCTATATGAGCGCACTGTATGTTTATTGAATCCGGTTTCGTCTTAAAAAACCAAATTTGAATCAGCAATTCTAGCAACTTCTGCCTCAAAAATTGATCTCTGATTTATTCTTTCCATAGTGTTTCTTTCTTGAGGAATGATTGCTAATCTTTTTCGTGTCAAATTTAATTTCTTTAATTTACGGGAAACAAACGAGATTGAAACGTTTTTACCATGTTGTTCTAAAATTTGCGTTTGAATTTCTTTTTGAACTACAGCATTGTTACAGACCACGGAATTAAATATTGTCTGTTCAATGTTTGCATTTATAGAATTTTTGATTTTATACGTTTCTTTTCTTTTTACTCTTATATACCTTATAAAAAATAGTGATAATGAATTATATTGTGATAATTTTATTATATACCTTATAAAAAATAGTGATAATGAATTTGATAGTGATAATGAATCATTATCACTATTTTTTATAACACGACTAACAGCATTTCGAGTTAAATTACTAGCGTTGGATATTTCTTTAATTGAATATTTTTCACAATTTCTCATTGAACCCAGCCGGCACAACTCAGAAAATAGTTACGCTTGGTTTCTGTTGCGTTTTTAAAACCTTCTAAAACAAAAAGAATAACACGCATCCTAAATGGTTTTTATTCCGTGAAATTAATTATTACTATTTACCATAAATACCAGTATAAAGTATTAATGGTTTCACCGTTATGGAAACGTAGTATTATATTTTAATAACTTTCCGTAAGGAATGTGAAACCACTGATAAAAACATGCGACATTTAAATTTGACTTTAAAACCTCAAAAAACACGTGTTATACTCTAGTAAAACTGCCCGTAATATACACGTGCTTTTGGTTTACGCCTGGATCGTGAAAAACACGTGCCTATATAGGTTTTATTTCCGAAAAAGAAACTAGATGTGCCGGTAGGGAAATAATCGTATTTTAGTTTCTTCTATAATTGTTTTCCGTACTTTTCTTTCCATTGATATTTAAAATATGAGTTAAAATCAATTTTATAAATGCACTTACAACTTTGCCAACGTACACTTATAACTTTGCAAACATGCACTTATAACTTTGGAAAACCCTGTAACTTTGACGCCATCATCCAGTGAAACATTTTAGTATTAATTAGAGTTAATTACGCGAAATTTTATTTCACAAAGAAAATAAATGTTTATTTAATTACAAATATATAAAAAAATATATACTTGTATCATTTCGAATGAATATAATTAATCTTAACTAATCATTTTTTAAATAGCTATTATATTAAAAAAAGGCAAAAAAATCAATCACTCGAGAAATTAGAAAAAAACGATGTTATACAGCAATATAAAAGAATACATACGATTCAAAAAAGTTGACTTATTTTTTAAACAACCCAGCTCTATATTTACCGCTAGAATCTACTCTTCCACATTCTTGAAAACAGACTTGTCGAACTGTAATCGACAATATTACTTTTTTACGAGCTAAGTCGTAAACAAATAGAACGTTTGAAATTGTATTCGGATCATTAATAAATGTCTTCAAGAACTTCATCAGAAAACCCACATAATTAATCAGTTTATATTTTGTAAGTACAGCAGACATTGTGACACCTAATACACACACACACACACACACACACACACACACACACACACACACACACACGCCAATATAAAATATATTAAATATTTAAAAATGGTCTTACATGGGTTGCTCTATTCAAAAAATTCAATTAAAAAGATCATCAATAAAATTCAAACTTTATCAAAAATTTCTTCTTTTTTTTTTGAAGTATATAGATGTAAATAGATAATTTACAAGCTCATCTACCACAGAAGAATTTTAACCGCTAATGTGCAATAACAATAACAACTTTTTTATCTGCTGTATTTTATTTTAATTGATATCATTAAACACTAGTAAATCTTCTACGGAGATAAAATAGTTTTAAGCGGTTTTTAAATAGATATTTGAATACTTATGGGGTATTTAGGTTGATTATTAGGATCGAATAGAAAATAAAAAGAGGAAACTAACATTATGTAAAATGAAAAGTTTGATTAGAAATTGTAAAGCACTTTTTTTTAATACTTATTTTTTTAAATATAATTTTAAAAAATAAACAATAAAAATATTTTTTTTAAAGTTAGATATATAAACAGAATAATAGAAAAAAATATAACACTATATATTCCATTCATGTAAATACAATATCATACCTTAATTGATATTAACCAAAATAACGTAAAAATTTTGTTCATTTTTTAGTGTGGATATTTTTAATAACTTTAAGTTTTGTTGCAATAGGTTTGAAGTTTATACGGTTGTTGTTATAGGTTTGAAGTTACACGGTTGGGTTTAAGCCATATTATCTGTCCTAAATCGCCGTGTGAGTTAATACTCCTTATGTTTACCTTAGTTTGCTCTTGTGACAAGAGATTTTGATTGACATGTTTTATATGTTTTTGAATAAAGTCACGTTTTTTTTGAAATTTTTTATTTGTAAACAACAGGATATTAAAAGTATTATTGGGTTATTTATTTGAGCTAATTTAACAAGTTGAGTTTCAATGTTCCAGCTCATATTTAATTCTAATTTCAGGTAATTTAGACACCTATTTACAAATAATTTAGATTGCTTTTAAAGTTGTTTTGTAGACCGCTAAAAATAAAATTCATAGAATATTTATGTAAAATATTCTGTTAAAGATATACTATTATGGATCGTTAAATATATACCATTAAATGTGTCCCGATAATTATACCGTTAAACGTATACCGTCAAATCAGCCGTCAAATCGGCTAATTTTCTAAAAGTTTGGTAAAGCACATTAGAATTAAAATATTTTTCTGGGAGCATAGTGTTTAAAAGCCTTGTTTTGCAGATAGCATATTCTAATAAAAGCGTGTTAATGGTATTGTCTCCATACTTGGCGTGCATATCTTAGATATGATACAGGACTATTGTTTAAAATATTTAATTTATCTTGTGATTTTGATTATCGAAAGATTTTAACATAAATTACGAAAAGTTGGTTGTAAATGGTATTTGCTGACCATATATGAACCACTCTATTCAATGGATAGGATCGGTGCGGTCCATGCGCCGCTATAATTTTTATAGCATTGAAATCACATTAATTTAGCACGAACGCTACCTTATACTCTTATATTTTTATTTATATTTTTACAGGAAATTTGTACATATATATATATATATATATATATATATATATATATATATATATATATATATATATATATATATATATATATATATATATATAATTTTCTTCAACAATTATTCAGTTAACAAAGATTCTCCACTACTTTTAGATAGTACGACTGAGCGTTTATCAAGCCTTCATTTTTCAATAGATGAGATCAAAAATAAATTGATATTAAAACAATGTGCTAATTTACTATCTTTACCTCTAACAATTATATTCAACTAACCACTATCATAAAGATCGATTCCATATGCATAGCGTAATGCAAACGTTACTCCACTATTTAAAAAATGTAATATCAATGAACTAAATAATTATAGATCAGTTTCTCTTACATCTATTCCATGTAAGTTAATGGAAAGCATAGTAACCAATGACATTGTCATCTCTCAAAACTAAATTTTTTGTCTCAATCTCAACATGGTTTTGTAAAGAATAAAGCATGTGTTCAAACTTATTAGAATCCAATGATTATGTTACAAAATGCTTAGCTAACAAAAATGCAGTAGATGTGGTATTTCTGGACTTTTCAAAAGCTTTTGAGTCAATCTCTCACAAATTGTTAATTATCAAGCTTAAAGCTTATGAAATAGTTGGAGGCCTTTTTGATCGGATTAAAGACTTTCTCACTAATAGAAAACAGAGAGTAGTACTTGGAGACATATCTGATAGGGCTCACATTACTAGCGGTGTCACACAAAAAGATAAGTTTTAGGCCCAATACTTTTTATAATTTACATCAATGACTTGCTAAACAATTTAAAACGTGTCAGTAAACTATATGCAAATGATTGGAAATTAAAGAATGAGCTACGAGTAAAAACTATTCTTAATGATACCACTGACATTCAAACTGATTAAAATAAAATCACTGAATAGACAAAAGTTTGGTTGATGAAGCTGAACCTAGAAAAATTTAAAGTTATGCATATAGGAAGAAACAACCCACGCTCAAACTATTCACTTCAAGATACAAATAACTATTTAAATTACAATTTAGAAAAATCAGATGTAGAAATATTTCTTGGTATATTTGTTTCAAGTAATGCTAAATATTTCAATCAAGTTATTCATGCTAGTAATAAAGCTAACAGAATGCCTAATATGTTAAAAAAACATTTATATCAAGGGATTTAAAGTTATGGACCAAGTTATACAAAACATATATCAGACCTAACCTGGAATATGCAATCAGCGCTTGGTCACTTTATTTAATGAAAGATATAAAGGTTAGTGAGAAAATTCAAAGACGAACTACAAAAGTCCTAACCATATGCAAACATCTTTGTTACGCAGATAGATGTATTTTATTTCAAATTCAAAACTGGAGAATCGAAAAATAACAGGTGACTTAATTCAAAAGTTTTTAATTGAAAAAGGTCTTACTATCATTAATTGGCACAATAAACCGATTATACGTCCAGCTCGAGGTGGTCAACAAGAAGAGTTTATACGCGAATTTAACAGAAATTGCAATCCACTATATTATTTTTTTAGTAATCATGTTGCTAAGTATTGGAATGCACTCAATGATGCAGCTGTTAACTGCTCTTTGACTAGCGAATTTAAACGAATACTTGACAGTTCAATTGAAAGTTGCCTATAGTCATTATATGATTTTAATAGGAATTGTATCCTATTGCAACTCATATATTATTACT